TAGAACCTCATTTAGTAGCAAGAACTTTGGGTGTTTCCATTCTGTCTGACTTCATCAGTCTCCCATTATTTTTCCAACTGGGTTTGTAGACAATTATTACAGCAGCTTTTCAGTGGTGCAGATCTGGAATTTGGCTTGGCTTTTGCAACACTTTCATTGCATTTTTTTTCAGCAGGTCTGTTGTAGATTTGCTGCTGTGTTTGGGGTCATTGTCCTCTTGCAGGACCCGGTTTGGTCAAAACTTCAGCTGCCAGACAGATGGACTCAAATCTGACTCTGGAATATTTTGGTCTAGAGAGGAGTTCATGGTCAGCCCAGTGAAATAAAAGGTCCCCAAACCATCAGCCTTTCACTGCCGTGCTAACAGCTGATGTGAGCTGTTTGTATTGGTATGTTGTTTGGTTTTCTCTAAATAAGGAGCTGTGCATTCAGGGTAAACATCTCTACTTTGGTTCCATCTGTCTAAATGGCATTGTTCCAAAAGTTTAGAGGTTAATTCAGATGCATCTTTGCATTTCTAAGCCAGGCTGCTAAACTTTAGAGAAGTTTTTTCCCCCTCTGCAACCATTAATTTCTATGAGCATTGCAGAGTCAGACCTCTGACCTCAGAAATAATTTAAAGAAAAGTGCACCCCTGGAAACATTTGCAAATGTATTTTAATGTGTTCTACCTTTAAATAACTCCCAAATAACTGGAATATCTTTGGTATGCTCTTATTGTGTCTTGTTTCTAACAGCATTTTTTTTGGTTCTTTTTAAAACACAGAAAAGTTTTTTTTTAACCTTTTTTTTCCATGTCCTGTCTGGCTGTGAAGCAAGCAGAATTGATGTCTGAATGCTGGTAACAAGCCTTACAGATTTACTCTCAGGTGGAGCATCAAAGCGTCTGCTTTTAATGTCACGCCTGATACTTAAAACCTTATTGTTGTTGTTTTTGAATGCTTTTTAATTCCGACCAGGCACGGAGACAGAGGTGAAAGAGAAAGGAAGAGACAAAAGATGGGGGGGGGGGGGGGGGGGGGGGTCCACAAATATAAACAATAATGAACAAGAATCTGCTTCTAGACCTGCAGAAGGAGACGGAAAAAAAGGGACACAAAAACAATACATCAGGAGCAAGCTATCACTGCATCAACTTGATGAAGAAATATATAATCAACATTGTTTAACTGAACAATCACACGATAATAAATCACAGTGCAGTTAGTGCCCACCACAGCCTTAAGACATGTGTTGGACATGCCTAAGTCCATACTTATGAGAGCACCATGTGAGCACCTGTGTGTGTACACGCGGTTGTTTATGTAAGGTTTCTCTATAGGAGCGTCCAATAGAGAGTGTGAGGGGCCACAGATCTGCCCCCTAAAGATGTGCAGGAGACCGAGGGAGCTCCAAGTCCCAGAGATCTAGGAGTTGCCCCAGAGCACAGGAACTCCAGGGAGACTGCGACCAGAAAAGCCCCCGCCCCCCTCGAGAGGCGCAGAGGATCGCCCCGGGGGGCCACAACCAGCAGCCGGCAGAGTCCCGGGAGATATCGGCAGCAAGCCCACAGGCCCGACCGCAGCCTCCCACCCCTTAGCCGGCCGAGCCAGGGACCCAGGGGGCGACCACCCCCGCCGGGGACCCAGCAGAGCCCAGGGACCCAGACCCCACCAGGCAGCTACCGGGATTGGTCAGGCAGATGCCAAAAATCTTAAACTCCGTGACCTGGGAGCCACGACCCAGGCAGACCAAGGCACCGCACCCCACACCAGGTGTGGCAGGGAGAGGGGAGTCGAAGATCTAAATCACCAAAAGAAGTCCCAGGAGAAGGGAGGAGTCAAAGGCCCCACCTGACATATACAGTCATACACAAACACAGTCACACACTCCCTCCCTCATGCTCACACATGCACATAAAACCAAAGACTTACAAAAAAACATGCCGGACACCCACTCATGCTCCCCATACACACCTCTGGTCCCGGTACTGCTGCACATGGGGTACAACCATTACCGGTTCCAAGAGTTTGACCCTTTCTGCTGGGGTGCTGATGAGCAGGCTCCCCCGCCCAACGCTGAGCACAGCAATCCACCACCCCAGACCCCAACCAGACGGCCAGATCTCCCTCCTAGCCTCCAGCCCCAGGAACCCAAGTGACAACAGAGGTGTGCTAAGACCCCTAGTCTTCCTCCACCTGCTCCAATATAGTGTTAGTGAATGTTGATGAGGTGTGGCTGTGGTGAGCGGGCAGTGCGGGCATTGTCTGGCCTATGCCAGCTGATGCCACAGCACCACCCCACTTTCACCCACTGTCCTCGGTGTCCAAGTGCAGTTTAAAATTGGAAGTGGGCACCGGCACCCGGGAGGAGGCTGAGATATCCCCCTGCCAAATGCCGTTGAATATGCTCACTCCCAAGGCCCTAAGTGTGTGTTTGTGTGGAATGTCGTCAGTGGAAGTGTATAAGGTGCAAATAAAATTGGGGGGCAGGTTGCCACAGGAATGCGGAAATGGGGTCCATACCCGTACTCCCTGACTTGTCCACCCCCCAAGGTCCTACGTGCATGTTTGTGTGATGATGTGAGGGAGCAGGAGGAGAGAAATGTGTGGGGATGGGGAGGAATGGCTGGTTGGGCTTAGCCCTCCAGGGAGCCAGCTCCCCCACCGGCCCCAATAGGCACCTCTGTTGTCAAAATGCCACCCAGGGCATGGAGACCCCAGCCCATCCTGCCAGGGCCCAAAGCAGCTGCATTACAGAGCCTCACGGAGCCCGAGGGCACCAACCCAGCCCCACCCCAGCAGAATATCTATGCCCATCCCTGCATTTGCACAACTTCCAGAATATATAAGACATAGGACATCCAGGTGAGGTTTGGTCCTCCCCCTCCTGGACCTCCCCCTCCCCTGTGATGGGACAGCAGAGGAGCCAAGGTCTACCCGAGGCCCCTGAACCCGGGCCAGGCACTGCTGCATGTTCCTGCCTTCTTCCCGTTGTTTTTTAAATTTTTTTTACCTTACTGACAGTTTCATTTGCCGACTGCAAAACTCCCTCAGAGCTGACGCTGATGGTGGCGTCACTTCCTTCTCCGTTTATCCGCGGACAGCAGAGAACGTCGTCGCCCTCTGCTACACAATCATGGGGAAGACAGCTGACCTGACATTTGTCCAAAAGACGACCGTTAACACCTTAGATAAGGAGGACAAGACACAACAGGTAAAGGGGCTGGCTGTTCACAGAGCTCTGTGTCCAAGCTCATTAATCGAGAGGTGAGGGGAAGGACAAGATGTGGTAGAAAAAGTGTGCAAGCAATAGGGATAACTGCACCCTGGAGAGGATTGTGGAACAAAATCCATTCAAAAATGGGGGGGTTCACAAAGAGTGGACTGCAGCTGGAGTCAGTGCTTCAAGATCCACCGCCCACAGACGTATGCAAGACATGGTGTCTTATGTCAAGCCACTCTTGAACAAGAGACAGTGTCAGAAGCTTCTCGCCAGGGCTAAAGACAAAAATGACTGGTTTGCTGCTGAGTGGTCCAAAGTTATGTTCTGTAATTTTTGTATTTCCAAGGTCCCAGAGTCTGGAGGAAGAGGAGAGGCACAGAATCCACATAGCTTGAGCCCCAGTGTGAAGTTTCTACAGTCAGTGGTAGTTTGGGGTTCATCAGCTGGTGTTGGTTCATTGTGTTTTCTGAGGTCTAAGATCAGCCATCTTCCAAGAATTTCTAGAGCATTTCCTGCTGCTGACCAACTTCATGGAGATGCAGATTTCATTTTCCAACAGGACTCAAGTATTGCACACAGTACCAAAGCTACCAGTACCTGGTTCAGGGACCATGGTATCCCTGTTCGCCTGACCTTAACCCCAGGAAACTATGGGATATTGTGGAGGAAGATGCAATACACCACACCCAACTATTCAAAAGAGCTGAAGGCCACTATCAGAGCAACATGGGCTCTCATAACACCTGAGCAGTACTTTAGACCAAAGGAGCCCAAACTAAATACTGAGTGCTGTACATGCTCATACTTTTTAGTTGGCCAACATTTCTAAACCTTTTTTATGGATTGATCTTAATTGATATTCCAATTTTCTGAGAAACTGAATTTGGGACTGTCATTAGTCCTCAGTTATTATCAGCAAAGAAAGAAATATTTGAAATGTATCCGTCTGTGTGTAATGAATGAATCTAACGTACAACTTTCCTTTTTGGATGGAATTACTGACATAAATCAACTTTGTCATGATATTCTAATTTTATGACCAGCACCAGTATTTCATCCTGTGAAGCTGAGCCTCCTCTGCTCCTACTGCAGGGTGCGCCCTCTGTCTGAGTCCGTCAGCGACCTCTTTAGAGAAGTCTCTTTGCTGCGCCGGCGCATCACCGAGCTCACTCATCGCCTAGCAACGCTGCAGCCATACCTCCGTCGCCACGGCTACCGGGGAGAAGATGGAGATGAGACAGGAGGGAGCAGGGCTCTGAGAGGGGAGGTGACAAGTCTCACCCGGTACCCCCTGAAGAACAAAGGGAGGCCAAGTAGGCTGAGGGGGACCCGGGTAGTGGGGAGGAGACGGGTGAGGATCCTCAAGAACAGGAGATCTGGTTCAGAATGAGTCACATGGACTGGGGGAAGTAAAGAGAAAGTTACGCAACGATCTGTGTGAGAAAATTATACTCATCATAGACTCATCTGGTCCTCTGAGACCAGGAATGATATCTGATGTCTCAGATCTTTATTAAAACTTTCTAATGGCTTCCATATTTTATTAGTTAACTGTTTCCTGTCTGAATAAAGTCCACGAGGCTTCATGTAGTCATTTCAACCCTCAAGTGTTCTGTAACAACATTTTATTATTAAGGAGGAGGAGAGAGGTCAGAGCACGCTGGTACAGACCGCTCTGAATCAATTTAAGTTTGTTGGTTTAATAATTTGAAAACCAGCAGTTCTTTCACAGAAAGATTCAGAAGATCCCATAAAAAAGCAACAGGCAGGATCCTGTTTAGGAGTCCTCTTCTTTAAACAAACAAGTACTTTATTTAAAAATAAATTTCATGTTGATTGTAAGATTTCACCACAGAAGCTACATCAAAAGTACGCGGAGAATCTTCAGATGCTCACATGATGCAGCACAGCTCGCATGCTGTTGTTTTTTTATATTTTGGTCAGTTACGTAGACAAGATACATCAATGAGTTTTCACCTGCATCAATGAATGATAAAGAAATTCAGTAAAGAAAAAAGCACATCGTAAATCAGGAGACTGGTTTAAAGGGTGCTAGTGTTTCTGTTCTTTGTTTTTATTGAAAGAAAAAAGGTTTTAAAATGTTGTGTCTCATTGGTTTGTTTCAGTGACACAACTGAGAGTTGAGTTTGAGTAATTTCTAAAGAAATTTGTTGGCGTTCCCTAAACAAACCACCACAATAAACCCATTAACAGCTCCAGTAAAACTAGCAGTCGATAACAGTGAAATTGTAATTCCTATTCTGATTTCAGATCAAACTCCAGTTAATCTACTAGGAAGAGATGCGTTGTGTAAACTAAAAACAAAAATCTGGTGCTCACCAGAAGGATTTTATGTAGACAGCTGTGGATTAAACTTTCAAATGACTTCTCAGACAGAACACTCTAAGGTATGGGGTCAGATGGGTGCCAAAACATTTTGTTCACATACATAAATTATTTAGGCTTTTAGAGTCATTTTTGTGAGAAAGTTTTTTTACTTTTGGCCAAACCAAGTGATGTCAGCTGAGGGAGTCCTGTTAGCTTAATCCAGAGAAAAATATGGATTCTAATGCTGGCTCTGACACAGAGGAAAATTTAAATGTTTATAATTCTACTTATGATGGACCAAAACCATAAAGTTATTAGTTTGCTGCATGCCCCATAGAGCAGAGACAAACCAGCGGGACAAACCATCGACCTAAGCAGAGAGACTGAGGAGAAGCAGCGGGGTGGGGTGGGGGTGGGCAGCAGGTGAGTCACCAATGCTAGCTTAAACTCGTGTGCTAACATCACAATATCGCACAGATTACTATCATGTACCAGACAATTAAAAATAGCACCAGTCAGTTAATATAGTAAACAGTATAGTATATAGTATAGCGTGTACCATTCCACTAATATCCAACAACTTCGCACAGCCATTGAAGAGGAGTGGACCAACATTCCACAGGCCACAATTGACAATCTAATAAACTCTATGCGAAGAAGATGTGTTGCACTGCATGAGACAAATGGTGGTCACACCAGATACTGACTGGTTCTGAGTCCCCAGACCCCCAATAAAGTAAAAATCTGCACATTCCAGGGTGGCCTTTTGTTGTGGGCAGTATAAGGTACACCTGTGCACTACTCATGATGTCAGATCAGCATCTTGATGTGGCACACCTGTGAGGTGGGATGGATTATCTCAGCAAAGCACAGGTGCTCACTATCACACATTTAGACTGATTTGTGAACAATGTTTGAGAGAAATGGTAATATTGTGTATCTGGAAAAAATTTTAGATCTTTAAGTCCATCTCATGAAAAATCGGAGCAGAAACAAAGGTGTTGCGTTTATATTTTTGTCGAGCGGAAATACGTTTTAGTGTAGCTTTCCTTCCAACAGGATTGAGGCTTTAGAGATTATTTCATCGTAAAAGTCTCACTTTATTTTTACACACTGCTCCTTTAATATGATAACACCAGAAAGCACGATGAATATGTAAGTGGCAGTACAGACATCTGTCCTGCCTGTCAGTGGCATGTGAATCCATCCATCTCCAACTGTTGAGTGTTATGTTCGTAGGATAAAGGTGGGGCTCCATCCACCCGTGTTTAATCCTAAACTAAAGGATGCCGTGCTTTTGCCACAGGGTGTCAGTGCTCTCCTGCTGCTCTGATCAGATGTGACATTACCTCTGATTCACGTTGGTCTGATCTTTTGGTTTGTGCTCAGCTAAAGTCAGGACAGGTCCCAGCAGGGGGTGCCTACTGTCTGCTAATGCAATTACAGCCCAATGGGCTTCTTGTGTGTTTGTTTTTTCAGTAAATGGTAAATGGTAAATGGCCTGTATTTGATATAGCGCCTTCTAGAGTCCTGGAACCCCCCAAGGCGCTTTACAACACAGTCAGTCATCCACCCATTCACACACACATTCACACACTGGTGGGGATGAGCTACACTGTAGCCACAGCTGCCCTGGGGCGCACTGACAGAGGCGAGGCTGCCGAGCACTGGCGCCACCGGTCCCTCCGACCACCACCAGCAGGCAAGCTGGGTTAAGTGTCTTGCCCAAGGACACAACGACAGCGACAGACTGAGCGGGGCTCGAACCTGCAACCTTCCGATTACGGGGCGAGCACTTAACTCCTGTGCCGCCGTCGCCCCAGTGCAGTGTGTTTTCTGTGTGAGCATTGTGGGGCTCAGACATTCAACTTTACGCCTTCATAAAAACTTTGCCTGGTGTTTCTACAGCAACCGGTCTTCTCTCGTCCTCTCCAGTAACTTGTCACTACTCCTGTAGCTTTTCCTCCTCCCAGCTGCACCCTGAAACCCCTTTTGTGTCTCAGCTTTTTGCCTCTGACTTCACCCCCACTCGTAAAACTGTAATCTATACATCAAACCCCCACCTCACACCCCGTTTAGTCCTCCCATCCCTGCCTTTCTCTCTGTGCTGCTCTACGTGGGCGTTAAGCTCACGCTGTACTTTCCATTTCGGTGCTGTATTGTCAATGCATTGTTGCATCTGATCCAGTGAAGATGCTGTGGGAATACTGTATAAATCTCTTTCCGCGTTTCTCTTCCTTCACCCATCCTCCCTCCCCTCTCTGGAAAAAAGAGCCAGTTGCTAGGTAACAGTTAATTGTCAAGAAGTGGTTACATGTGTTGTAATGCATCCTGAGGTTGTTGGGCTGATGCCAGAGCCAGAGAGGTGAGCAGAATAAATTGTTTTCTTTCTTTTTTTAGACAAGATGAAAATACTACAAAAAAACTTGATCAGGGGAGATTAAAGCATTTTTTGTTGTTGTACCACCTCACTTTGTTCTTTGCCAACATCCAAGGCCGCAGATGTTAAACACTCTCTCACCCAATCTGTGAGCAAGGCATCGGTACTTTTTCAAATTGGCTGGTTTCTTTAAATAACTCCTGTTGCTGGTCAAGGCTTTCACAGTTAGGAGTGAATGTGAGGAGCGAGGGGGAACAAGGTTCAGGAGCTTTGATCTACGCTCTCCATTCACTTTGCATCACTTTCCTCTCCCCGTCTCTCTCTCTGGTCTACAAACACATCCAGTGTTAGAACCCTGCTTACTACACAAGACAGAAAAGAGCAAATAAAACATCAAATATCAACACTTTTTCAGTCAACTTTCTTAAAGGTGTGGAATTCTGAAAAAAAAATTTTTAAAGGTTTTTTCCTGATGATTATTGGTCACTCTGATTTTTTCATGCAGGCTGCGCATGAAAACCATCTCCTACACCCATCTCCTGCTTTAGCTTCAGATAGACAATAAATGTAGGATTTGAAAATCCTCACAGATCTACGTCACACTGTGAGTTAGCATTCATGGACTCACCCATCTTGACTCATGATGGCCAAGGTTGTTGTTTTAATGTTTAGCAATCAGCCGCGGACATTTCTGCTGGTTTAAGCTAACAGTTAGCATTAGAAACTTCACCTCATGGCAAATCTCCATGTGCAGGACAAAAGTGAATGTAAGATCTCATGAAGTCCTGTCTTGTGTTTCTCTGGATCTGAGTAGGGCAAACTTTCCTCTCGACTCCATCTCTGGTGGGAACCCAAATCTCTAGATGTGATCCCTCTAGCACAGGGGTGTCAAACTCAGTTTTGCTCTGGGGCCACATTGAGGAAAATCTAGTCCCAAGTGGGCCAGACCAGTAAAATTAAAGTATGCATAAATTAAAAACTGCTTCCGATTGTTTTCTTTGTTTTAACACGATCAACATAAAACAAAGCTGGAGCCTGAGGACAGTGTATCCAAAATAGTTTAAGCACGACATCACCATTAATAATAAAACACCTGAAGTGTATTTGAAAATGTGAAATACAAAACAAAAAACCCACACTATTCCTCAGTAATTCAAATAACTGATTCACAGATCACATGGTTATATCAGTTTCATGCGCGTCTTTGACTCCTGATACCTGACATCTTTTAGCTTTCACCAGCAGTTTAATTGAAAAATGAAAGCTTATTTTCAGACTTTACATTGTAGTCTGAAAATAAGGTTTACACAATCATCTCGCGGGCCGGATTTAAACTGTGTGCGGGCCTGATCCGGCCCGCGGGCCGCATGTTTTACACCCCTGCTCTAGCACATTCTGGGATGGCTTAGAGGTCTCCTCTTGCCTAAAACATTCGTCACCCATTGGCATCCAAGGGTGTTCCTAACCACTGTCCCAAACCAGCTCCTCCTGATGTGGAAGACCAGACGCTCCATGTTTAGCCCCTTAGCCTGACTGAGTCCAGTCACTCTGAAAGAAAAACTTATTTCAGCTTTCTGTCTTCTTTTGGTTTTCACCCAGAGAACATGAATTTAAACCAAAGTTTAAATTGAGACGTTTAGCTCCATCTTCACCACAACATGTTCAACCACAGAACTGCATCCTTACTAACAACAGTCTTGCTTGCTTCAGCAAGCTCTGGACCATCTGCAACACAGGTCTGCATTTATTGAGTCAACTCCTCTGTAGGAAAAACTGATGCATCGTTCAAACTCAAAAAGTGAGAATGTGGTGCACAAGTTCATTCATGTCGGTGATCCAACTTAAAAGGTGAAACGTGTATGAGATTAACTCAATCCGTGCA